AATAATAATAATAATAATAGTGATTATATTATTATTATTATTATTATTATTATTATAAGAATGATAGCAATAATGATAATGATGATGATGATATTAACAGTAATAATAATTACAACGGTAACTACAATGATCATAATGATAATGTTGATAATAATAATATGATAGCAGCACCAATGATAATGACGATGATAACAATGATAATAATCATAATAAAAATGATAGTAATTGATAATAACGATAATAATTATAATGGTGATAAAGATAATCATCATTATATCGATAACAGTGATAATGATAGTAATGATGATAATAGTGATAATAATAATATAATGATATATGATGATAATAATAATAATAATAATAATAATAATATGATAATGATAATAACTATAACACTAATGATAATAACATTGATAATAATAATAATAATATAATAATAATAATAATAATAATAATAATAAATAATATAATATAATAAAACAATAAAAATAATAATAATAACAATTATAACAATAATGATAATGAAATAATATATTAATAATAATAAATGAAATAATAGTATTAATAATAATGATATGATAATGATAATAACAATAGTAATGATAATAATGATAATAATAATGTCATCAATATTGAGAATGATGAAAATGATAATAACAAAAGTATTAATGACATTAAGGATGATAAAGATAATAATAATAATAACTATGACGATGATAGTAGTAGTAGTAATAATAATAATAATAGTGATTATAATAATAATTATTATCATTATTATCCTTAAATGATAGCAATACTACTATTTCTACAATATTACTATTGCTACTGCTACCAATGTTGATACCAATGACACTAATAATAATAATTGCAATACCATTATTAATTATAAAAAGAATGATGTTGATGATAATAATACCAATAATAGCAAAAAGTATAATTGTTATTAGTATCATAAAATAACAACGAAAACAACAACAACAATTATATAATAATGATAAGATGATAGTGATAATAATAATACAAAAATAAGAAATAATGATAATAGTAGTAACGATAATGATAATAATAATAATAAAAAATAATAAGAATAATGATAATAGCAGTAACGATAAAAAAATAATAAGAATAATGATAATAGTAGTAACGATAACAATGATAATAATAGTATTGATAATGATGATAACAATGATAACAATAATGACAATGTTAAAAATAGCAGGGAATCAACAGAGCCAACAATAACAACGACGATGGAAATCACGACAACAATGATAACAAGATAGTCGCAGTACGACAATTGTACCAGAAAAAAAAGGAATTTGCAAAGAAATAGAGTTAATAAAAGTTTAATATGGTTTTGTTTCATTTGCATTGTCATCCGCTTTATGAATTCACGGAGACTTTAATTAAATGTCAGTCTTGGGACTTGAGAAAAATGTGACATTCAACAATGGCAAATAGTTATAGCGAAAACAAATTGCTTAAAAATACTAGTAATTAATACAAATACTAACATAAAGATATCTAAACGAACAAACACATATCATCATCCACACACACACACACGCACACATCCATATCTAAACACACGCGTATATCCACATCTAAACACACATTTATATCCACATCCACACACGCACACCCACACACACAAATATGCCATGTCTTTCATTTCGCATATAATGAGTTACAATTAGTTTCCGCAACAGTTAAATGAATCGTCAAGTTTCGTCAAACCATTACAGAACGCTCTCTTCAAACTGTTGTTTCCACCTCGGATTTCCACGCAGAAAAGCCCGGGTCACGAGGAACACGAAGCCCCACATTGTCCTTCAGCCCGGGTTCCACTGCCCAGACTTAGCCCTGGTCCCTGAGATACCTCTTGACAGTCCAGCTTTTTGCTTAAGTGCGTGTAAGCTGGATTGTTATTATCAGTATTGTTATTACCATTACCATCACTATCATTCGTTGTTTCCATTATCTTTATTGCTACTCTTATTATGATCATCGTTATCATAATTGTTGGTATCATCATTATCATTGCAATTACTCATATTTGTGATATTTTTTCGTAAACAGCCATGCACTATATATATCCTCATTGCCAGCGAAGAATAAGCAAAGTCTGAACAAAGATTTCGCTGTGATGCGCCCGACCTCAGAAAAATAAAAATTGGCAACTCGACCCGGGCTCTAGAGTACTCCGATTCGCCCTCTCTTTTTTATCCTAATCAGCTGACACTTAATACCTATGTTTACATGTCTAGGTTTATATATTTTTAAGACTTTATTTTTTTTTCTACTGCTTAACACTTAATTTATTCACATATTTTTTTCTCATAGGAGACTAAACGAAACGGAGTACTCCAGAGTCGAGGGTGAGTTGCCAGTTTTTCCTTTTCTAATACGGCGGAGTTTAAGCCTCGGTCGCTCATTGCCATTGACTGGCCAGAAGGGTGTCAATTTCAGGCTGGAGTCAAGTTAAAGGGTCAAGTCAGGC